GCCGCCGAAGGAACGCGCTGGGCCCTCTTCAAAGAGCGTACCAGCGGTATCCCTCGGGGCTCCTCCCGATGACCGGATGTCGATCACTCCTCCGGGACAGTGACAACGCCTGAATCGGATCCGGAGATGTCGACTCGAAGTAGATTGGTCTATCGAAGCGATATCCCAATTCGTCGGTCACCGACGTGACGTCTCCGTTCCCTCCTTCAGGGAACGAGGGTTACCATACGTAACCAAGACGTTTCTGTGTACATTCTTGTTGATCCAGGAACAACATTTCTATAAACTAAATGGAGTTTAGGGATTGGGAAATGCTGAGGGTCAGAGGCTTGCACAACACGTTTAACAACCTATAATTTTGATTTCATGGGTAGTTAATTGGTTGAGTGTATCTCACGAAAACAACCAGAAAATGCCCCTTTCATTTTTCACCAGATAATACAAAGAAAAAAAACAGAAATTATATTCTGAATAATGAAAACTAGGCCACTTCTGGCTCATTTCTGGCATAGAATGTGCACTTCTCACAATCCAATCAATTCCTGTTTTAGATTTTTCTCATATTGAACATCCAGTTTCACTCAGAAGTGGTTGTCAGTTGCACTACATACAATGGAGATCAAAATTAGAGAACAACCTAAAACTTCCTAAATTTCAAGGTCACTGCTTAGTACTATTTGAAGATATCCTAACAGGAGTAGAAGAACAGTTTTTTTAAGCATATTTCATAAATTAATTGTATTCTGAAGCACAGTATAAAAAACTTAAATGAGATATTTGAAAAATAATGTTTAGAAGAAGAAAGAACACTTACAGATGCCTCCCAGTTATTGGTGTTGATCTGGCACCTGGTGCTAATTTCCTTAATTATATGACAAACCCTAATTAACTGGAAACATTCCTCTAATTTTCACTGAGATTGCAAGATGGCGGGCCGCTCTAAAGTGAATGAAAGCCTGTGACAGGAGGCAGTCCAGATGAAGGCCAAAGAGAGTGACACTTTCAGCCACTGCGAGAGAAGCTGGTCGTTCCAAATCTGTGATTTCTCAAATATTGCAGCTTTACAATGACACCAATTCATTCAAGTCCCCCAAAAAGGCTGGTCGTCCACATAAGACAAATGCACGAGAAGACAGGACAATGCTGAGAATCTCATTGGGGAATCGGTTCAGCACTGCAGCTGGACTCACCAGTTGAACACTGAATAGGATAAAGATCTGTTTAAGAGAAGTCGGACTGAAAGCGCAGTCTGCAGCGACCAAGCCTCTCATCAGCAAAAAGAATCAAAAGGCAAGACTCACCTTTGCTGAGGAGCATGTTGTGTGGAGAGAGGAGAACTGGTCCACACCAGCGCAGTATGAGAAACTAGAGATGTCCTGCGGCCAAAGATGTGCTGAAGTCATTCAAAGCAGGAGCCTCTACACTTACTACTAAATTTTGACAGCTGTAACCCTCCAACATTTTAGATGTAATCTTCTTTCATGCAATAGTGGTTATTGTTCTCTAATTTTGATCACTGTGTTATCCACAAAATAAAGGTTTTTGTTGAAATGCCTTGGTTATTTTGTCAAAAATTTTTGTATAACAGTAGTATACCCACAGCTAATATTCCTTTAAATTTTGAGCGATGAAGATTAACAATATTTCAGAAAAAAAAATCAAGTATTTATAGATTGGTCTCTCATTTTGATCTCCACTGTATATTTCAGATAACCTCACCCCTACTGTAGGAACCGTGATAGATTACTTTACATGTCAGTCAGTGGGTGGTTTTTGACCGAAATAAGCTGCAGTATGGACCTTTTTATGCCACAACACAGATATTATAGTTATATGGATTGGTCTATCATCCTTTTGCATCCTGTAGCAGTCAAGTGCACATACAGGGATGATAATGTGTAATCCGACGTTGATTGCAGGCAGAATTACTGCCTAATATCAGATGAATATTGTAAATCCGACTTTATACAGCTGATAATGTTTAATCAGGGTAGAACAGCCCTGCGTTGGTTGTTTCTATATTCATTAAGTCCCTGCTCCTGATATTTGCACGCGCCATCCAGTCCTTCACAGGAATTCGCGCTCTCGCAAAATTCAAAAGTTAACGGTCATAACGGCCAATCGACGGATGTGGGTGGGTTTATCTTCGTGGATGTTTATTGTGAGATTAAATGTATATGTTCGAAATTTAAAAAAAAGATTTTACACAGTTGATCATGTTTGTAAGAGTAACTACAATATTTTATAGAGTAGCATATAGACTAAACAAGTGAGAAGCCGAGAAATCACAACTGAACTACTGCCTGATGATAATTTGCTGCTTTTAAACGCTCTAGATTGCAATGAAGTAAATTATAGAAGAGAATCAGAGTACAGTTCTGAGGTGTAGTGCAGTTTTAAGAAAGGGATATGTTTTCCTGAAAGTAATGTTCATGAACGAACATGTCTTGTGTGTTCAAAGGCTGTCCATGACACTAATGCAGTTGTTGAGAGGTCGAGAGAGAGATAGAGAGATGGAGGCGGGTCACAGCGGAGCGGAGGAGCATCTCTCTTTCAGCTCTGTTCGTTTCGGAAGCGCAGTGACGGACATCCCGGTGTCGAGCGCACTGGACTCGTAAGTTCTGTCCATTTTGCATCGTTAAATCCACTTTTTAGCTTCTTCATGAATGAATGTCAAATGTCAGAGGTAACGTGAGTAGATTGTAATTTAATATGTGAGTATTAATTCGCTTTACTACACTGTAAAAGTGAAAATGCGCAGGTGTTAACTTAAGGGGCTATGTGTAACCGACATGGCTTTTAAAGATGACTTTTGCTAGTGTCATCCAACGTAGTCCTTGATTACTTTATGTTAAATTATATTTTTAAAACCTGTCCATTTGAACGTTACTACATGAAACACGTTTTGGTTGACTTGACGGAAATCTTTGTACAGGGAAAGTGGGAACGGAAAATAATTAAAAAGATTAAAATTATAAAGCAATTATAAAGCTTTTACAAATTAATTCATTCGTTTTATTGAATGACAGTACTGTTATATGTTTATTTAATTGCTTTTATTAATCAATTAATTTAGTTTTAATTCGAATTTATTTGTTAATTATTGAATGTGTAAACTTTGATGACTTATAAAGGGATTTTGATTTATTTGTATATATTTTATGCAACATATTATGGAAATATACTACAGATTCACACCAGTAGATTTACTATTCATGTACTCATGTAAGTAGTGGTGACAGTCTTTATGTGTTAACCTAGTATGCTTTTTTTGTTTCTGTTAAGAACGTATAATGAATTTTGCAGGAACATACTGAACGGAGGTGTGTGCTGTCCATGGTACTGAAAATCATGTAGACTAGCATTTTCGACCTGAACTGTGAAGAGTTTAATTGTTTTCCCTCTCATATTTTGTTTTTCAGATTAACATAATGTAGTCTTGAGCAAGTAGATTTCAAGTTTGAGAACCTTTTCACTCCATCCACTCACCGTGAAATGGGCATTGCGTAGTTGTTGTTTTGACTCAGTAAGCACTTATGCCTTAAAGAATGAGAGCCTTAGGGAGAAGGACTGTTGAAAGGATGCTACGCGGAGATGGAGAATGGAGGACCTGCAAGAGTGCATGACAAGCGGGTCGGTGCCGGTTTGAAGAAATTATAAAAAGAGGAGAAACACATCACCACCTGAAGCCATGGGGATACGACATCTCCTACTTCTGTTGGTCTATCTAGACCCGCTGTGCGTTCTGAGCACATCCACAGCCAAGCGGAGCAAACCCCCTCCAAAGAGACCCCCAAAGGTGAAGGAGGTCAACAGCACCGTTGCTCCGACAGTTGCACCCCGACGGATCACACAAGTCCAGGCGCCCGTCGTTGGTGATCATGACACCTGTCTTGGTTACTATGACGTGAGTGGTCAGTACGACAAAGAGTTTGCCTGCAACAACACTGACCACCGGTACTGCTGCGGGAGCTGCTTCCTGCGCTTCTGCTGTCCTGTGAAAGCCAAACGACTGGATCAGAGAGTCTGTACCAACTACAACACGCCCGACTGGATCAAAACCCAACCGCCCTCACCAGCACCCACAGGGGACACGTACGACCCTGCACTGGACCAGACCAACACCACCGTCTACATCACCTGCGGGGTCATTGCCCTCATTATCATCCTGGGAATTTCTGCCAAAGTGGCCTATGATAAAGCCACCAGACCGCCTCAAGAAATGAATGTCCACAGGTAAGTCCAAGACATGTCTTTAGCTTTCTCAAGCTTTAGGCTAATGCACTGCCAGTATGACATAGTGATTTTATAGGGGCGACGTAGCCTGGTTAAACCACCCCACGGCTGGTAACGGAAATTTGTAAAATGCAAAAATGTGCAATTTTAAGTTAAAGGGATAGTTCACCCACTATTTATAATTCTGTCATCATTTACTCAGCTACCCATGTTGCTCTTAAAACCTGTATACATTCTTTCTTCTGTGGAATTTTCAGTAGGATCCATTTTTGTTTGGACCCCAATGTTCTTCAAAACATCTTCTTTTGTGTTATTTAGTAGAAAGAAATTCATATAGGTTTGGAACGACACAAGGGTAAATTTTTGTTTTTGGGTAAACTGTCCCTTTAAGAATTTTTTTTTTTTTTTTTCTTAACATACTTGGTGCATGTGAGAGTGCATAAGATATTTAGTCAGGTTTACAGTGATAAATATAGCATATGGATAACCATCTACAGAAAGGTCATTTTGGATGAAAAGTGTTTGCCCAAAGTATATTAGTCCGTTAACTCCCAATTGCATTTTCAAAGTTGGAAATTAAGAGGATATTGGTCTCAAAAATATGAAAATGGTGTATTTTTTTTTTTAACTTTCATTAGCTTTTCAGTATCAATTTATTCTGATTAATGTGGAAATTCAGATAAACACAATATGTTTTACAGAAGCCTAAGAAGTATTATACATCAAAACCATTTGAACAGCACAGACTGCATACAAAATAAGAGTGATTTGTCATTTTTAGTGTATGAGACTGAATGAGGAAACCAGAAATGAATGAGACCTTGTAACACATTTCTTCTGAAACATACAGTACATAAACTAGACCTTAAGTGAAAGCTTTGTGGTCTTGATAACAAATTAAACACTGGGTTCTGGGTTAAGATGGAATATTAATAGTTAATTGCATACTGTATTAAATCTAGGACTCGTCTGCGTCTAGGAGGGATTGATTCTGGATTTCATTAGTCTTGTGCTGAGATAGAGGTCAATTGGAAACCGTCGTAGTAGAGGGGATTTAGGTCTTCATGGTGCAGTTTGTCAATAAGACAGATTTATAGTGCTTTGGTTTGTCAGTGCCAAAAAGGAGAACTGTTTCTTTGTTTTTGAAGGACAACCACGTTTTATCTGTATTGCTTATTGATTAGATTTAGGTTAAAAAGAAAAGAAAAAAAGTCAGAAAATATTAACTGAGAACATTGAATTTCCATATTAAAATGACGTAACACTGACTTCATAGCCATTTTAGCCAGTCACTTCGCAAGGGGAAAGTTGTTCCTGTGCAGAGATGTTAAGAGTATTAAAGATGACACATTGCTCTTCTCTTATCGAAGTGATCCATGTTGCAAATATGAGTCAAGCTCAGGCAGTCTGATAAGAGTTTGGTTGGCGCTCACAATGAGGCTTATTGGATTTGTTTAGACCGAATGACATTCTGTACAGCAGAGGTGGAAAGTAATGAATTACATTTACTCGCGTTACTGTAATTGAGTAGTAATTACAGTAAACTGTAATTTTTTGTGTAATTTTTAAAATCTGTAATTTTACTTTTACTTAAGTATATTTTGTTTGAAGTATTGTACTTCGCTACATTTTAAAACACATTAATTACTGAGTAAAAAAAAATCGCTCCCTGGAAACTACTGCAGTGAATAATGGGCAGGAGAGCAAACTGGCGCTAAAATCACAAGAAAGATGCAGACGGACAAGACAGGCGTTATGGTGCAGACCCAGCTTAAAACGAAACCCCGTCATATTCTGCTGAAGTTGAACTGGAAGGAAATGAAGTGAACCCCTGGCCATATGCATTAAACAGTGTGTAAATACATCTAAATGCCACTTCCGATGAAGCTTCTGTGTTTCCTCTGCATTGCAAAGATGAATTTTGTTGATACTGATTTAATTTGCCTGGTAACAGCCCAAATGTCTTATTATTCTAAGTAACTGATTCCTTTAATTAAAAACAACTAGTTATTTATAGGACTATCCCAGGGGTGTCAAACTCAGTTCCTGGAGGGCCGCAGCCCTGCGGAGTTTAGTTCCAACCCTGCTCCAACACACATACCATGTAGTTTTCAAATAAGCCTAAATGATTAGCTTAGCTGGATCAGATGTGTTTAATTAGGGTTATATCTAAACTGTGCAGGGCTGAGTTTGACACCCTTGGCCTATCCTATTTTTGCCTCCCTCCCACTGTTAAAATTGCATGAAAAATGAGTACATTTTAAATGAGCTACTTTTTACTTTTACTTGAGTAGATTTTTAGACTGGTACTTTTACTTGTACTTAAGTAAAATTTCATTAATGTAATGGTACTTTTACTTGAGTAGAATACCCTCTGGCTAAATAT